CTGAGATAAAGTTTAAAATCAAGCATTGAGTGTTCATTGGCTAGTTAGGCTTTCCACTTTGCCTCCATTGCAAATATGAATATGTGCCATAATGGAGGAGCAGGAAGAGGCGCAGGAGGAGGCAGTTGATCAGAGGTGTGGGGAGTGAAGATGCAGAGATGTGAGTTGAGGGGTGGCTGGAGAAAAAGAGAGAGAGAGAGGGAGGGAGGGAGGGAGGTAAGGAGGGAGGGCCGTGTGCATGACATCATTCCCTCAGCTTCCCTGCGCGGACACAGCTCTGGTTTCTCCCGAGTACGCACGGTGGCTGCTGCTGCTGCTCCTGCTCCTGCTGCTGCTGGTGCTGAGGGAGCGACTCCTCCTGCCGTACCCAGACGCGTCCTGAGCAAGCTGCGCTCCTGGTGTGGATTTTTCTTTTTTCTAAAACATTATTGAAGCCCGCAGAGGAGCCCCGCTCCTCACCGGACCTGGCGCAGGAACGCACGCATTTAACGCACTCGCGTTCGGGGGATTATTGCTTGTTTTCATGATGAAGATGTGACGGCTTTAAGAGGCGTGAAGAAAAATAAAGGAACTCCGGGATCTGACAAAGGTAGGCGCTCTTCCACACACCCTCCCTCCCTCACTGTCTGCCTGCCTTGACATCCTGGTATTTGCGTTTTACCAGGTTGTTTTAATTGTCTAGTCGTTTGAAGAAACCATGGGTTTGTGTGCATTCGTTTGCGGTGCGCGCAACTCATGCGTTTTCCCCACGAGTGCCAAAAGAGTGGCACAGATTCAGATTAGTGCTCGACCCGTCGCGGGGCTTTTAGGATGGAAAGAGGAGCTCAGTGGTCCAGGACTCAGTGGGAGACCGGACTGTGGCACCGCAGCGCTCCTGGATGCTGCTGCTGCTGATGCTGCTGCTGCTGCTGCTGGCAGAGCATGTGCACCAAGGATGTATCCATCATCCTGAGCGATGCTCTTAAGTCGCGCGGCTTCCCTTGGTACTTTTTTTCCCCATTCACTATATGACTCTGCTAAATAGAAGAAACGCGGCGTGGTTCAGTTGCGGGAGAGCATCGAAGATTCTGTGAAGACTCCACTTGTACCAGTGCAGCTTTGGAGCTTTTTCTGCAATGTGTATGTGTCTGTGCGCGCGTGCACGCGTGCGTGTGTTGGCAGGAGTGGGTGTTATATCCAACAAGAAATGCATCTTCACAGTAGGTGAAGTCAAGCATGAGATGATGTGCCTGTGGATCATGACACGTTCAGGCTCTCCAACGGGCATCGATCGGAAATGCCATTTTCGATTCTCTCTCTCTTTCTCTCCCTCCCTCCCTCCCTCTCTCTCTATCTATCTCTCTCTCTCTCTTTCCTCCACTCTCTAAGGTAACAATTCGGCTTGAGTGTGAACATGTGAACATGTCGGACTCCTAAACCTCTATCTTGGGGAAGGTTGGCTGTGCGCCACGCGGGTCAGTTCAGTAAATGATTGTTTCAAGAACACTTATACTGAGGTTCGTGTTGAAGTGAACGTGGAGCAGTGACATTGGCATTTTGTAATTACTTTCAGTAGCAAATTAAACCGAGACCTGAAATACATTTCGCCCTGTGCGCTTGGAGACCCCCCCTCTCCTCACGTCTCCCTCCTCATCATTTTGTCTTGATCCTTCTCTGATGGAAGAAATTGCAAATTGTGTTTAATATCATTTTCAGAAAATTAAAAAAAAAAATCCACATTAGTAGTACTAAACGTGAATTTAATGAAAATAATTGAAATAACTTAAAAATCAAGTGTAGATTTTTTTTCTTTAAAAATAAAATGATATAATATTGGCAGTACTAATATCTCTCCCTCTCTTTTTTTATTTTGCTTTTTATGCTCTTCATTGCTCAGATTGATGACCTTAAGGCCTCACGGATTTGTATTATGACGAGATTTGACAGCGTTTTTATTTGAAGCAATTACCACACGACAATCTAATCTGTTATTATTTCCTCCCTGAAGTTGTGCGTCTCTCTCCCACCTTCCTCCGTCTGCCGCTTCGATCGCAGCGAGCGCAACGCGCGTCTGCACAGCTCATAAAAGAACAGAGGGGCAGAACAATATCACACCAGCGACCGGGTTGTTAAAAGAAAATGGCTTTATTCATTTTTCTCTGTAGCCGTGCTAACTTAGTTATGGTCCTTTTTATGGCGCCTGGAAATGGCTTACAGGCGCGCAGTGCGATGTAATGTAATCAAATCCGCGATTGTGTTGCTGTGTATTACAATTCCCTGTCATCCTCAGTCACATGAGAAATTTGGAGTGACCCGCCCTC